AGCCCTCTCACACCTGGCCTTGAACACTTCCAGAGTTCCAGACCATACAAATGATTGTATGATTTTAAAACTGAAAAATGGAGCTTAACCTCCAAATCATGCTTAGGATTTAATTAAAATTAAGCTCTATCAGCAAAAAAATAATTTCAAAAATTTTAAAAAAACAAAAAACCCCAAAAACCTCCCCAAAAACCTCCCCAAAAACCTCCCCAAAATAAACCAACCCCCGCAAAAAACAAACATTCTCCACCCCCCAAAAAAAACCTAATCATCCAAAAAAAACCCAAAAAACCCACCAAACCAGAAAAAAGGAAAAAAGCAAAATAAAGATCAAATGCTTTACTGAAGGGTAGCTGGTATGAAAAATTCACCTCTCAAAGCATATGGTCTGAGAACTAAAGTTATTTGAGAAGCAATTGCTTTTAGAATTCTCCATTGGATTTCATAGACAATAAACTGCCTGTGAGGAGTTAAATTCCTGAACACATCGAATAATACAACAAAAATGCCCAGTGCTGTTTTACCAGAGCAAAATATCAGAGAACCTATTTTACTTGCTGAAGTGCAAATTTCCAAGCAGCTGAAACTGCTTGAGTGGACAGCAGAAGGCACAGCTGAGACAACACAAAATACAGTCATCCAGGACTGTTTAAGATTCATGTCTCAATGCTGATAGCAGGAAATAGAGAACAAAGCAAGGCCATCATACACATAATTCTCTCATTTGTGGGAGATTACTGTGTTCCATCAGTCAAATAGGAATTATTGCTGGCTGAGTTGGAGATTCATAGTTGGTAATGCATAAGATGAATCTTGGCAAGTAAAACTGTTGGCATTTCAAATGGGAAAAGTCTTTAATTTCTGAAAAAAAACCTCCTCTGTTCTTCTTCCTTTTGTTTATCTTTTGGCTAAAAAACACGGGAACATCATTACAGAAATTGGTTCATATCAGGAGTTCTATATGCATTCTATTTTTTTCTGTAAAAAACACCCATTTACAAAAAGCATAAAACCATCCTACTGAAGAGATACAAAAACATGTAATGCTCTTGGTCATGTAATTATCAGTTCTCTACCCACTGTCACAGAGCTCTCTTGTGAGGAATGTTGGGAGAAGTGTATGCAAGAATCAGTATCTCTGTAAACAGCCTGGTAATGGTGCAAAACCACACAAAACATCTTGACCTTCAGCTGTGTTTAGTTCTTGTCTAAACTAAATTTCCCCCCTTACTCTGACACATGACATCACAAGACTCTGCCAGCAAAGAGGCAAGTTCCAGAAAGACACTATAATGTAGTTATGCAGAAAGCAGTAATTCTAAATTTTCAAATTGAAGGATCTTACTTGTCACCATTCTCAAATCTTGCATTCTCATCCCTGGAAAAAAGTTCCAAAAACTTGGTGCTTTCAGAGGCTGCAACAATTGGAGAAGTGCTTCTTCCCCAGGGTTACACAGAAGAAAGCAGAAGACAGCTGAATTTTCCATCCACATTTTAGAACATGTTTGATGTCAAAAGTCAGGGGAAAATAGATAGATAGATAGATAGATAGATAGATAGTGTAAATTATCTGCTATCCTAGATTTGAATGCCTAAATTTAATTTTCTAAATGTTGACAAATCACTAATATCCTCTTGCAAGTCATCTTAATTTCCAACATAGTAATTTTCCCTGTAATGACTCTTCATTTAAGACTACATGTTTACAATTTTCTACCATTTAGGTGATACTATTGAATGTCCTGGTCTTGGCAGCAATGAATAATTTTCCTGTCAGATGGAATATGAAAAAGATATGAAATAAAACATGTTTCCAAAACATAAATAGCTGGCAGTTATCCCTGAGGAATAAAAGTCCTTCTTAACTGAAAAACAACCAGCATGTCCTATTCTCTGTAAAAAAAAAGTCAAGAACTCAGTTATGCCCTTAACTAATGCCCTGTTGCAGTGAAGAAGGCAGGCTAGGAGGACAACATACCAACCATTTAGATGGCTCCACTCATTATTAGCCATTTCTCTTTTTTCCCCTCCTTCTATCCCCTCTTTCAGTGACAGCATAATCCAGGTGCTCACAAAACTGCCTCTTACTCCTTCCTGAAATTTACCTTCCCAATGTCAAATCTAATCAGATGTGACATACACACCATGGATGTCACATCTCTGCTCATAAAAACAGAGAAAAATGTTAAGGGATCACTGCTTGCTGTATGAAGTAGAAATTCAACTATAGGGACACAAAAAAAGGGGATGGTTACATTTATACTGATGAGATCACTTGTAGTTCAATTAATTTGGTAAATCAAATTTGGTTCAATCAAGATAAATGCAACCAAATTCACAGCAACATTTGTGTGTATGTAATGATGTTTATAAATAGATGTATGGGGAGGTAAAAAATTCAGACTGATACTTAAAGGAATCTCAGTTTTGAAAAATTAATCCCAAAGTAAGAATATGTGACTGCAAGTATCAGCTAAAGTAAATTAATGCAGCAACAACAGTAGTGATTTTCAGAATAATAGTGTACAGGGAGTTTTAGATATGTGAGAAATAAAACCCAGCATGAATTTTTTAAGATGTGGAAATTACGAATAAGCAAGAATTAAATATATCAGTACTGTGGACACTTGAAATAACAAAAACTCTGAGTTGAATTTAGATGAAATAGATAAAGCTACTTAAAGCTATAAAACTAAAACCTTACAATTAGAATGAGATCACTGATTGCCACTTGGTCCAGGGAAGGCAAAAGCAGAATATGGCCAGTAATTCTGTTGTGTTACCACTGGTGCATCTCCCCCATCCAGCCCAGGGTTCAGAAGACATTTTAGCCAGAAAGCCCAAGACCTACTGACCCGAGTCTGAGGAGGAGAAACCAGTTCTACATGTCACAAGACTTGTCTGTGGTTCATTAAGAATTAGGACATGTATTTTCTTAGCATGTCATCTATTAGGTATCTGTTATGTTCCATAGTCTCTAGCCCAGAACACAAAAGAACCAGTGGTGTCCTTCACCCCTGAGCTCTTCAGGTACACAGTTGCCACAGGAGTGAAGGCAATTGCAGTCCCCAGTGACAGTGCTGGCTCTGACAGCCATCCTGCCCCTGTCCTCAGGTACAATTCATCGCAGCACAGCAACAGAAAACCAGCAGAATTCACATCCATCATTCATCTTGTGCCAGCTTGCAAGGCAAAGAGAACACTTGAAATGCACCCAGTCTTAAAAGAGATGTAAGAATTGATAATCTCTAATGTGAGATTGCTAGGTATACCAGAATACTGGAAAATTATTTCCTAAAGTGAAATCTTTTATCTAGGAAAAAAAATCTGTCTAAATACCTTTAACTCTGGGCTGTGCACAAGTCCTACAATAGAAAAAAAATCCCATTTTAGAATTATTCTAAAACCTTTTTGGGTAACATATTGTGATTGCAAGTATTGAAGAAAATAACTCAGGGAAAAAAGGCTCAAAGCATTAATAATGGTTCCTCTAATTACATTAAACAGCTTTAAGTAAAAAATAGACATCATTTCACTTTATTGCATCTCATAAAACACACTAAAACTGATTTGCTATTTATGCTGAATGAAAGGAAGGAAAAGTTTCACCCAAAACAATGAAGCAGTACCAACACTGGTTCAGCTCAAAAAAAAGAAACAAACAAAACCCTCAAAACCTTAAATGAAGTATATTTCATGAAAGGTTTCAAATTTCTGAAAAACAAATCAACATCAAAATGAAACTCCCAGAAAACAAAACTTTCTTTTACTTGATTCTTCTATGGACAATTTTTTATGAACTCTTCTTACTGTTTACGAACCATTTAAAACAATAGAAATTATTACAGATGGTTAAGTAGTCAGAATAAAAAAAGCCACAAATAGAAAAAAAAGTTAGCATTACTGAAGAAATTAAATCTGATATTTATTTCTAATTTGTTCTAGAAGCTAATAATAAAGATTTTAATTTCAGAATCTTTAACTGAAAACTACACCAAGACCGTTGCTATGCTCGCTCTCACTCCATTAATGTGTGTTCTGTAGCTGGTTTATATTTCACTTTAAACTACAACTGCATTTCAAGGAACCAAGTATCTGTTGGTTCACTGAACAACCACAAAAACTCCAGACTTGCTCCCAGCCATAGTGCCAGAGCCTGAACTGCTCCCACAGGAAACACAACTGGGCACAGCAAACATTGGCAAACACAACACCAAGCTCTGCAGCGTTTTCTGTTCTTAACCTGGACAATGCTTTCCTGATGTTTTGTTACCTACCCACATGGCACTGTCAGTCACCTTTTGCAGCTGTATTTTAAATCAATTTCTCAGCAATTATTTATTACTAATATATTAATTAGTAATTCCTAATTAATATTACTAAACAAACAATTCCCCAAGTTTTTAGAACTTCTCAAGAGTGAAGCCCCTTCGTTGATTTCTCCAGTCACCCCTGTCTGTACAAAACAACAGGCTGTAAAACATTGCAAGTCATACCTCATCTTAGTGAAAATAAGAAAGCTGATTCATCTGCCTAGCATACAAACCAATCTAATATTCAATCAAAAGTATTTTTAAAACATATCAGTTAAACTATCAGTTCAGCTGTCATATACATTTTTTGTTTTTTCCTCTAATCCTCATTTTGTATTTTGTATTTCAATTCCTTTGAAGAAGCAGTTCTAAACCAGGCTTTTAATCCAGAATGAGCATTTCAAGTAATATTTACAGTCTTATTTGTTCTTAATATAAGTCCCTGAACTGTACTAAAAATGGCAGTTTATCTCAGAAATTTGTATTAAAAAAAAAATCCTTAGATTTAGAATACATCTTTAGAACACTTGTTTGTTTTTTTTTCTCTAATATCACCAGTTATATAGAATACAACAATAAAAAGAAAATAATTGAAAAAAAAAAAGGAGCAAGAAATTATTTTTATTTTTAGCTTTTTAATCATGGTTTTAATATGAGACAGAAGAGCTAGAAATGGTTCATACTGACCTGAGTCCATAAAGGACTGTTCCATCTGGATGCAAACGAATCATTCTGTTCTTCACAGTGACACCATGAACAAATGACTTCTTGTCATTCAGGAAATAGGTATCAGGCACCCAGAGCTGATCAGCTACTCTGTTGTCCAGAGTAAGGTTTAGAGGTATTACATTATAGGACAGCCTCTTATCCCTCCACGCTTGCTGGAAGTACATTGTCAAGGTATAGTCCTGTGATTAGAAAAAACAAAGTTTGCATTGAAACAGATGGCATACATATGCACAAAAGTGACAATACAAATACACATGTATTCATTGTAACTGTTCCTAAAGGCAAAGATTTCTCTGCAGAATTTCCATAAATAAATTTATTTATTTTTACACTACTGAACATCTTGTATACACTTAATAAAAGCAGTGAGAACACAAAGAAGATGGGGTATTTACATTTCACGAATGACTTAGAAGTTCTCATTTCAATATTTAAAAATAAAATTTTAAAAATTATAGACATTTCACAGCTTGCAATTTCTTGCTAGCACTTGAAAAGCCTGGGAGTTCTAGGAAATAGGAACATTCACAGATCCAGATTTAATTTCACGGTCTCCACTGTATTCAAGAGAGATCTGAATCAAATCTTCTGTCTCTGAAGTTGCAGTCACCACCCAAAGACTTCCCTAAATTAAAATCTCCTCAAAGTCTGCTAACTTTCCCTTGGGCACTGAAACCAATGGAAATTTTTTGAGATTCTTACACTCTTAATCTTAATTTTATAGATGAAGTAACTCTGGTTACTTCAGGGTCACAATTCAGACAGCACAACTAGGATCCAGAAAAATCTGGAATTTTTCTTATTCTGCAGTTTCACAGACTGAACACCCCAGTAAGAAATCACTGAAATTGGGTTGCTGTAATTATTCTCTTTACAATGTACAATGTCTACCCTTGAACTAGGTAGGGCCTGTGAGAACTAGGGATATTTCAGCAGAGCTCTGTAAGCAATGACACAGCACATTGAAACTAAGTGACCCTGTCTCTTCTGCAGAACAGTCTGCGCTCACATGAATCAGTATAAACTGGTTTTTTATAGAAATGTGCATTTCAGTGGTGGAAACACTCTTATTTTTTTGCCTCATCCCTCCCCAAAAGAGCCCATGTACATGGGCTTCAAAACACCTCTTCAGTTTTCAGTGAAGCAGGGAGAAATTCATGTTCTGTTGTGAATAGTTACAGCATTTCTTCCTTACCAACACAAAGTACAAAAGGTATTGCTGTGCCATCAGTGTTCCTGTCTACACTGGTTAAAGGTCAGTCCCCTTCCCTTGCTGTGCCCCTGGCTGTGCCTGGAACCCCCACACCTTTGGCCAGGTGTCACAACAGCAACTCTGCAGGAACTCAAGTGGGTAAACACCAAATAAGCCTTCCCAATTGTTTTACTAGCAAATATATTCACCTGGTAGCTGTTCTACAATCTGATCACCCAAAGTTTCAATGATCTAAAGTATCAATCTAAAACCTCTTCCTCTTCCCACCTCCCCAGGGTCAGGATGAGATTCTGCTTGCAAGAACATTCCACCTACATCTGAAGAATTTTACTGTTCTGCTTCACCACTGTTCTGCATGATTTGATTCATAACCAGAAAATCTTCAGTAGGAAAATTTATTAGTCTTCATTACACTAATATATCACATCATCAAATAATGATCTACAGCATTCCTGGAATGCTGCATTTTATTCCTGTTCCAAGGAATAACCTACATGTTTTAATATATTGCATAAATACATAGAACATGCTTTCCTTTTTTTTTTTTTACCTCAGTAAAAGAGGAAAAGAAGAGGAGGAAAAACCCTGACATACATGGTTCATTGCATAGAAGTGAATTACATAAAACTGTAAATTTGGAGCACTGGCATTGCTGAAAGAAATGTCAACTCAGCCAAGTCACCAAGCTGGAGTTTAAAAGCAAACACACTGTGTTCCAGAAAGAGCTGGTGTTCCAACTAAAAATTATTTGTCATCTGTTGGCCCTAGTTTTCAGATGAGACTGGAGTTTCTGATGGTCAAAACAGAACTCCTTAGAAATGGTTATAATGGTTACAAGCTTCTGAATTTAGGTTTCTATTTTTAATGATAATCTTAAAAACCCCAAAGATGTTCCAAGCTACATACATTGAAGTGAAATTGGTAAGATAGGAAAAAATCAAAACCTGTCACAATAACTGTGATTTATTCCTTAGAAAGGACAGAGGCATCTGTTTTCAAAATCCCAAATGAAAGAATAATTCAAAAAAAGATGGGTAAGTACAATATGTACCTAAAGTATCCCAAGACCTTTTATACTTTGAAATTAAGACCATTCTCATCTAATAGGAATACTACAGGAAAAAAGTCTGTTAAATGCATATTAAATACTGAAACACTGGTAGCAATAAAGGCAGGAAACTTCAGAGGAGAAAAAGACAAGTAGAAGGAATATATAATGTCTAATGTATATAACACACATTCTGTATATTGTAAATGTGGTATAAGACAGTGTGAAATTGAAGAAGCTATTTATCATTGCACTGCTGTAATGAATGGTGAACTTTTTTGTGGTTTGGCTTAAATCCACTCTTCATCATGTTCCTGGTTATTACTAACTTGTAAAAATGCTTTACTACATTTCCACGTATGGCTATTTTAAAACAAAATAATTTCCTTCTGTGAATGCCTGAAGCTGAAGATTTTGCCTGGACACTATATTTAACATGTACATTTAAAAAACTGTTGATAACATTTAAAAGTGTTGATTGACAATCCTTTCAATCTTCTTTTTGTTTAAAACCAACCACTACAAGACGTTTGAGTCAAAATTATCTATCTCAGTCTCTCATTGAGAAAAAATAATGTAAAAAGTCTGCTTAATGCTTGTGATACCAAAAAGTGCACAGTCACTTACATGAAAGTAGAAAGAACTGTTGCAGGAGCAGGTGATACCAAAGAAATGCCAAAATAGTCATATGACTTTTCAAAAAAAGTATTTTTCACATTCTGTAAATCTTTACTTCAAAATAAACAAAACCCCCTCAAAACAAATAAAATTAAAAAGCCACAAACAATGACATCAGAAACCTTACACAGAACTCTCTGTCTATCAAATCCCACTTCCTGAACTGGTTTAAATCTGTGAAATACTTGTAATTAACTGAGTCTCCCAAAACTTACTAGGGGAGTTTTCCTTGATGGAAATTACATTGTCTCAAGTTTATCTTTCCATAAACAGGAAGATCCCAACACCAAGCTTATTATATATTTTTCTCTAACTCCCCTGGAATTATTCATCAGCAGTTCTCATTTGTCAGTTGAGCAAATCAGCAAAGATGGGCTGTTTATGTCCAACCACAGCTCTCAGAAAAACAAAGTGTTCTAGAATCAAGCAAGAGGCTTGGGTGTGAAAGCCAAATGACTGTCAGCAGAGCTTGATTCCTTAGCATGAAAGTTTTGATCCTGATTATATGAAATCTGTAATAAAAGACTATAGGATTTCAGCAACAAGAGCTTGAATTTGTGTCTCAGCACTACTGAGGGTAGCCAATATTTATATTGATTTTCCATGGTGATTTAGCTAATGACACAGCCTCACACTACAATGGATTTCATGCACTGAAGTGAAATGAAGCAGTTCTGGCTGATATGTTTCCTGTAACCTTAATTAGGTTACAGGAAGACGCTGTGACACTTGATTTTCATTTCTGACAAGTCATCCAGACTGAAGCATGATACTGCACTTTTCCTGAGCCAGCAATCTGCATATCATTCCCATCAACCAGCATCTGCCACAGGTCTTACAGCCAGCTGATCTGCTGTCTCTTGGTAATAAGAGGAGGATTGGTTAAAGTGAACCTGGACTGAAAACTGAAATCTAACTGCTGTTTAGTTAAGAGAGTCATGTGTTTTGAGATTCTCAGATTGTTCTCTTTTGAAAGGATCTCGTCACCCTGATACAGCACTGCAGGATTCTCAGATGAATAAAGCAAATGCAAAGCACAATGAAAAAATGCAACTATACTCACTTAAAAAAAGTTATGAAAACAGTAGTTTTCTGCCTCACACAAAATTATCTAGTTGTGTCCTTGAAGTAAAAATCTTTTAGGCCACAAGAAACATCAAAATCTTTTTTTATCAATAAAGTCAATTTATTTTGAATTTCGAAATTTTCTTTACTCATGTGTCTCAAGTTGTTTCCCACAACTCCCAGATAATTCCCTATGTAATTGTACAATTCCACAGATCTTCAGAAAGGTAAATACCTTCAACAGAAATCATATTTACATTGCTTTCTATTATAGCCTATTATATAATTGCCTTGCAAAATAGTATAGAATTTATTGAAAATTCTACAGAACAAAAAAATCATAATAATCATTAAGTAGAGTGGAAATAAACCTGTGGTTAAGAAGAACTGGAGATGCAGCTAAAAGGTTTGTTGAGAGCAGATGGTGGCCTAAGATACTGTTTTGCAGAAGAGACTCAAGAATAAAAAAAACATAAACAGCAACCAGAACCCTGAGTGTCCAAAACCATTAGTGGAGGGGGAAGGAGAATGGAGGGGGGTGCAGAGGGAGAAATTCCAGGGTAAGAATATAGTTACTGATGTATTACATCTGGATTAAATCTGAGAATTCAAGTTTTGCCTAGATGCAGAACTAAACTGGCATAACATTTGAATAAGTTCTCTTTTTCCTTATGCTTTACAGATTCCTAAATTTCTTCACAAACCAAGCCTTAAGAATTCATTCAGAGACTGAAAGGATTGGCAAATTAATGCTGCTCCAAATCATTGCATTTAACTTCTGAAAAATGTACTAAATTAGTACTAAAAATAAAATAGGTCTTAATCTAAAGCAGATAAAACTTATTTATAAGATAAAAATTCTGCAATATTTTTCAAGAAGACTTATGAAAGTGAAATAAATATTCCCAGGATTTATTTATTTATAAGCACAGATTACACAGATTAAACAACAATCACAAAGAGAATATTGATGTAAGAGAGAGGCAGTGAGAGAGCATGTGTTGAAGGAAAATATTTATAAAATAATCCAAATCATTTCCTTTAGTATTTACTTCATTGCAGAATTGCCAAAACAATAGGATACACAATATTTCTTTTAATAGTGTGCTGTATAACTAAACCACAATTAGACCAATTTATTTATTTAGCTTATTACAGCTTCCAAAATCTG